CACAGGTTTTGCTTTTCTTTCGGCTAACTGAGTTTCCTTTTCTTTCTGCATCCAGTCCATGAGAGAACTTTGCAGCCGGATGGGCACATGGGCACCCCATAAGTCGAGGTAGTGAGTGAGCACACCTAAAAAGTTTCCAATCTTCTGATCCTGTCCTCGAAGTAGCTTTCTATTTGTAGGCCCCCCAAAAGTTCTCTGTGCTCTCATGTTTGTTCTTCGTTTGTTTATGCTTGGCTTCTCAACTTGAATGTGTGCAGCCCCATGTTTAGACCTCCAAATCATTTGGTATACAGACGCTTCACCATTGTGGCAGAAGTAATCTACGGCCTTTGCTAGCATAATCTCTTCCAGTTGCTCCAAGGAGATGTCCGTATGCAAGACATGTTGCTGACCGCCATCTATCTCTACTGTTTCAGAACTTTTATTCACTGGTAGCATGTCTTCAGAAGAGCCATGGGGTGCAAAAGCAATTCCAGCTTTTAGATATGGAGAATTTTGTAGAGACATTGTGCCTTCAGACAGTGAGGTCTTTCGCTTGCTATAAACTGAATGTGACACCAGCCACTGCAAATTAAATTCAATTACTGGTTCTAGCGAAACATCTGATAATCCTGCGTTTAAGTTGCTAAAATATGGAACCTCATGCTGTTGCTGCAGCTTGCAACATGACGGGTTCGGGCGAAACCATTGAGATGCAAAGTTGTGAAGATTGTACAAATGTTCTCTGTGGTATGAATAGGCAAATGGCACCCATGAGAAGTCTTGAGTAGGTAGTTGAGTAAGTTCGTTGGTAATATTTTCAACTATAAATTTGACATGAGGGGCAAACGACTGCAAACTCCTAACTGCAATCCCAACTATGTATGTACTCTCTGAAATCTGTACTATCGTACTAAAGAAGATATTACCCTCTGTTGTACCATCTTTCTTTATAAATATTAGGAAAACCTCTGTTCCTTGCTCTGCAGTACTAAAGGGGATCAACCATAGTTGACACTTGTAATGCTGTTGGCCTCCTCGAACAATTTTATGGTGAAGTTCCTTACCTGCCAAAAGATTCTTGATAAGGGCGCCAAAGGGCATGACGTGACAAAGTGGTGTGCCACCAAGCTCTATGAATCTCAGGAATTCACTAGCACCATCTGCATACCACTCAAATCGTTTAACAATAGAGGGGTTCAACTCATCAGTGTTGCGGTTAAAGATGGAGAAAACAAATGACTTGGTAGCATGTCCCATCCGTTTAGGAATGGAGGAATTCCTTACCTCCTGTTCCCTACATTCTTCTTCGAGGATTCTCTGCTTATGTTTGTGCAGTTTCTCATCACACTCTTGTGCAGCACGCTTCAGCTTCTTCTGCCAACGCAACACGGATGTATCAGTGATCTGCCATTTATTAGAAGTCTCAAGAGCAGCTTCCAGCCTGATGTGTGCCATCTCTAGCCTCTCTATGTTTCTGATTCCATTTATTTCCTCTTTCTCCTCATATTTTTTAACCTGGCCAGATAGTATTTGGCTAAATGACTCCTGGATAACTGCAGAACTGACGATCTCAGCCATCAGGATTCAGGAATCTATAGCTTTGCTTCCCTGGTAAGAAAAATCAATAAATAAAAGTATGCATAAGAGATTAGATATATCAGCTTGCATCAGAAGCAAAGATTAGCTGTGTGGTTGTAAGAATGTACCCTCGACCAAACTGCATTAAAAGTGGGGACAACCGGACAGCTGTGATGGGTACAGAGAGCAATATTCCGGATGCTAAATTGATCTGTGGAATAATATAAGATCAGAACTTTTAGGAAGTGAGAAAGAGGTAGGCAGGTCATTAATAAGGAGGGTCGTTTCATCAAAGAAATGTAGACTGGTCGTGAACACTTACGGGACTAATAGCAAGGGTTGTGAACAGTACTAAATTGAGAATTGTTGAGTTCGGATCCTTGCTTGAATCCACTGAGGGGCGTAAGGGATCAAGAGGTGGGAGACATCAACGGACAAAACATGGATCGAAGAATAAGGCAATAATGTGGACCATAAGTCTTATGGTACAAACAGCTTAGGGGGCTATTTATAGGGAGAAAGAATGGTTTCTGGTGATTTTAGCCTTTTCACATCACGGAATCACCTACTATAGGCTCTATGACGTGCCATGTCTGCCCTAGTCTTCCTTCATGGGCTGGACCCCATCGGCGATGGACATCACTGCCCTGGAGCTTCATTATGCGTCTGAATATAACTGGTCAGCATGAATCAGATGGATTATAACTTTTATGTGGTCTGCAGTAGTACGTCCGAACGAATGAACTTTTCTGCCATTACATATAGGACTAATCGGGGCAGCTTAGTCAATTCCAGTGACTATACGGTCCACCCTGCAGATTAGGCAAAGGTTATTGCCAATTATTTTTCTACGCATACTTTTTCGATATTGGTTGCTGTCTAATATTAATTTTTCAAATTCCCGTGACTACACGGTCCGCTCCCCCACACCTCCCCTCCTTGAATTCCTTTTTTCCTCTTCCTTCCGATCGGTTTGGTTTTTGCCTCGTCTCCAGCAGGTCAGATCCATCCAGACTTGGGTGCTGGCTGGTGCGATCGCACCTTGCTTGCACGACTGCTGCACTGCATCCCATCCACACGACCACACCATTGACCATTCACATCACAGCCATCCCAAGCCCAGGCATGCAGGCGCTGCACAGCTTGCCGTGCCGTATCGGCCGCTCCGACCAGTATAGGAGTGCCGTGCTACAAAAACTACGACAGCATGTGAGCATGTACTCAGATGGATTATAACCTTTATGTGGTCTGCAGTAGTACGTCCGAACGAATGAACTTTTCTGCCATTACATATAGGACTAATCGGGGCAACTTAGTCAATTCCAGTGACTATACAGTCCCTGCAGATTAGGCAAAAGTTATTGTCAATTATTTTTCTACGCATACTTTTTCGATAGAGGTTGCTGTCTAATATTAATTTTTCAAATTCCCGTGACTACACGGTCGGCCTTGGTTTAGGCAAATTATTTTTTCTACTGTACCCGACAGTACTAGAATAAAGATCATTACCAGTTTAAGAATAAACTCAACAGTAATAATATATATAAGCGTCACTGCCCAGTTCTACCATCTACCATCCACCCGACAATGATATTGTGTGGACCACCTTCCGGCAGTGGCTTAAACCGAAAGTGACCTCCATTTTTTTCCATTTTCCTATATACTTTTATATTACATTTCAATAGAGGTTGCCATCTAATATTTTTTACATTCGATGTTACTAATGCATTATATATATCTCCCTGCCATCGTTGATGAATATATCATAATTAGAAAGGGTGCTGTTTTTCTACTCCAGAGAGTAGTTAATATACACACACATACATATATACTTAATAGGTATAGATGAAGTCATTACAAACCAAAATCTCATTACTACAAAACAAGTGGCGCACAACCACACTACTATAACTGGTTATTACATGCCATAACATAGTCTGTACAGTGAGCGTGCCCGGTTATGTAACCAAGGGCATTATTTAAGTATATCAATCACTGATGGGATCATGGGCTTACAAACCCACAGTGAAGCGTTGTCTCTGTCCGCTCCAGCATAACCGTGATTGACTTTTTTTAATGTGCCGGTAAAATAAGAATGCAAGTGAATAAATCATCCGTGATGCCATATATATAGATGGGGTGGTCCATCCCATGGGGGTTCACCCATGCAAATCCGTGTAAAACAAATCTAATGGGGCCTTGATAGCAAAAGCCGGTTTTAGAGGGGCTTCACTCCCCAAAAGTGTGATTTCCTCATCTAGACTACAAATTGGATTTTGTATATATATGCTTTTCAATAGCGAAGTCCAACTTGCATTTTAAGAAAGTACCAATCCCGATCTGGGCCCATTTTAAAACCATCCTAGGACGGTTTTCCCAGAATTCGGTCGAGTTGGCTAATTTGAGGTGCAAACACCCAGAAAACCCACATCTTCGGGTTTGAGGTGAAAATAAATGGTTTGCTAACTTTAGGTTGATCTGATACCACTACTAAGATAAAATGCTGATTAATAATAACGTACTACAATACAAAATGCTCTCATTTCCTAATTCGTTAGGTTAAAAAAACATTCCTAATTCATAATAGGGTTTACAACTAAGACCAATATTATATACAAGTTGCTAGTCAGTAAAGCATAAATTCCTCCGTGCTGTGGCTCTGCTTTTGTATTGAGTTGACCCTGTAGTCGGAACATCTATACCAAATTCGAGATCTGAAAATGTGTGTACTCTATTGTTTTGACAGATCTATTCTTTGTCATGAAAAGTAAATCCACACTTTGATCCTTTCATGGAACCCTCCATTCTTTTATTTCTCCATCATTTGCTGGTTGATCCATGGTGTACATATATATGATCAAGAATTTCAGGTGGCAGTGATGTGCTGCTTATGTTTTTCCTTTACTTCCTGATACCAGGCCATGATTGAGCCTTGAAGTTGGATGGGTGCATGCATGTGCCGCCCATAAGTTAAGGAAGTGAGAGATCCAATATGTCAGACACTCCAACTCCTCATCCTGTCCTTGCAAGAGCTTCCTTCTCTTAGCTACATGAAGTGTTCGCTGTGTGCTTGGCATGAAGATGCTTGCTGTCTGAACCTGAATGTATGCAGTGCCATGCTTAGACCTCCAAAGCATTTGGTAGACTGTCGCTTCCTCATTCTGGTAGAAGTAATCTATTGCTTTTGGCAGCATGATCCCCTCAAGTTGTCCCAAGGTAAAGACAGTATGCAAAAAATGTTGCTCCTCACTGTAGATTGCTGCTATTGCAGGAAACTTATCCGCAAGCAACGTGTCCTCTGAAGAGCCATGTGGAGCAAACAGGACTCCAGCTTTTAGACATGGATAATCGCGTACAGAAGTTTTATGTTCGGATAGTGTGGCCCTCTGTTTGTTGCACTCTGAGAGCGAGACTTGGCAACATGTTAGAGCTTGTGCTTATCATGCCCTTAATTTGCAACACAATGGGTTTGAGCGAAACCATTGAGTGCCAAATTTGTTAACATTGTCCCAAAATTTTGGCTGGCGTGAATCAACATAATTTGGTACCCACGAGAAGTCTTGAGTAGGTAGTTGCATAAGTTCTTTCCTAATGTTTTCAACCATAGACATGAAAAGAGGGGCAAACAGCTGTAAGCACTGAATTGCAACCCCAACTATGTCTGTACTCTCGGAAAGCTGTAGCGACACAGCAAGGCAAAACTCATCATCCAGCACATTACAATCTTTCTGCATGAAGTAAAGCCTACCTTCTATTCCATGCTCGTCACTAATAAATGGTGCCAACAGTAGAAACAAAGGGCACTTGTTGGCCCTAATGATTCTATGCTTTAGTATCTTGCCAGCAAGTAGGTGCCTGATAAGAGAGTCAAAGGGCATGTTACACCGTGGCGTGCCACCATGCTCTAGTAATCTCTGAAACTCACTAGCACCATCAGCAAACCACTCAATCTTTGAACAACGGATCTGTTCAAGTCATTGTTGTCATGGTTAAAGATAGAAAAAACGAATGACCTGGTAGCATGCACAACCCTCTTATGAAGGGGGAAATTACTTAGTTGCTTCCTTATGTGCTTCATTATGCGTCTGAATATAACTGGTCAGCGTGAATCAGATGGATTATAACTTTTATGTGGTCTGCAGTAGTACGTCCGAACGAATGAACTTTTCTGCCATTACATATAGGACTAATCGGGGCAACTTAGTCAATTCCAGTGACTATACGGTCCACCCTGCAGATTAGGCAAAGGTTATTGTCAATTATTTTTCTACGCATAGTTTTTCGATAGAGGATGCTGTCTAATATTAATTTTTCAAATTCCCGTGACTCCACGGTCGGCCTTGGTTTAGGCAAATTATTTTTTCTACAGTACTAGAATAAAGATCATTACCAGTTTAAGAATAAACTCAACAGTAATAATATATTTAAGCGTCACTGCCCAGTTCTACCGTCTACCATCCACCCGACAATGATATTGTGTGGACCACCTTCCGGCAGTGGCTTAAACCGAAAGTGACGTCCATTTTTTTCCATTTTCCTATATACTTTTATATTACATTTCAATAGAGGTTGCCATCTAATATTTTTTACATTCGATGTTACTAATGCATTATATATATCTATATATCTCCCTGCCATCGTTGATGTATATATCATAATTAGAAAGGGTGCTGTTTTTCTACTCCGGAGAGTAGCACTACTACAAAAACGATTTTTAGCAACGGGGGCTTTTTTTTGTAGGGCCGGCTCCACTACCAACCACCCCTACAGTGGGTGAGCTCGGGTCCCATGATTCCAGCCGTCCCTACAAATGGGTAGATTTGTAGGGGCGGCTCGCTCACCAGCCACCCCTACTGTTCGATTTGTAGGGGCGGCTCAATCACCAGCCGTCCCTACAAATGTCTGCTGTATAAATGGCTGCAGCCCCCTTCTTCCTCCTCGAGTCACTCACTCCAACCCTTGAAAAAAAGGTAGGGGGGCTTGGGCACCTCTCAAAAATTACTCTACTAAGGGGGAAAAGTTTTGGTCTCAAATCCTTTGGTGAAGAGGTTGTATAAGGTAAGAAAATGCTATTCCACACTTTTTTTTTGAAGTTTTATTGGTTGGTTAGTGAGTAATTAGAGTTTTGCTTTTCTCTCTCTTCTATGGTGCTTGAGCTACTTATGAAGCAAATTAGACCCAAGTTTTGAATGTACTAGGGTAAATTAAGTAGGAGAATAAGATCATACCCTTATTTGGTCCATGTTTCTTGATTTTAGTGAATAATTAGTCAGTTTTATGGATGCTTCATGTGCATGTAGATCTAGATCTAGGGTTTGATTTTTTTTATTAATTTCGTTTTTGTAAATTTATGTTTGATGAAATTGGACAAGGGTTTGCATGAAAGATATTGGGTAAAATATAATTATTGCTAATTGTTGTCTTTGAAATTGTTTATTGTTATCAACAAATATGTATTTTAATTATTTATGGATAAATGTGCCATTAATTAATTTTCCTCTACCATGGTGTGTTTGTATGCTTCATGTAATTATATTTGATTTATATTCATATATATCTGAAGTATATACAATTATTCTCGAGTAATTATTAATTTGATTCATTTTTATATATATATATGAATAAGTAGTCCTTTAATGTTTGTTTTGTTGTTGTTGTAAAAGATGGAGTACAAGAACTCTTGGATGTATGGTTCGTTAAGGTTCAAGGCAGGTTTCCGTGAAGAGGTGGATAAATTTATTGAAGCCGCAGTGAAGCATGCAACGACGTTAACAGAGAATAAGGATACAATTATTTGTCCCTGTAAAGATTGCAAGAACCGTATGGCATGGACAGATGTGACTATCATCATATCACATTTGATTATGCGAGGATTTGTTGAGTACTACACAGTGTGGATTTATCATGGTGAAACGATTATTGTTAACGACGAGGATGCGGATGAATACGACGACGAAACCCAAGAATCCCTGTCCTAATATTCAGCATAGCTTGATGCATGAATGGATCTCGAGTTTGGCAATGAACAAGGTGGTGATGCTGGTGGTTAGGATGGTAATGACGAAGGTGGTGCCAATAATGATGGTGGAGCACGTGTTGGGGATGAAGATGATTTAGAGGACATGATTCGAGCCCTTGGACCAAAGATTTTACTAAAGAACCCGAAAGATCTAGAAAATTTTGAAAGAGTGACAAAAGCATTGAAGGAGACTGTATATGGTGTTGAAAAGGGTTGTCCGACACATTGAACATTGCTACGTTTTATGCTTGAGCTACTCATCCTGAAGGCTAAGTACGGCTAGTCAGACTGTAGTTTCAATAATCTATTACGTCTCCTGTCATGGGTGCTGCCACAACTAAACTCAGTTCCCGCCAACACATACCAAGCGAAGAAGGTCATAAGTCCATTGACAATGGGGGTTGAAAAAATCCATGCATGCCCCAACCACTATATCCTTTTTCATGGTGAAACGTTCCAGTCACTGGATAAATGTCCCCGGTGTGGGGCCAGCCGGTACAAGAACAATGACCTTTACAGTGGGGACGAAGCCTCCACGGGGAAAAAAAGGAATAAGCAGGGTATAAAAAAAGGTGGTATAAGAATCTCAGCCCCCAGAGGACACTCCATCAGGCAACGATACAAAGCAGAGAAGAATTCCTGCCTTGGTAATGTGGTACCTGCCAGTGACTGACCGCTTGAGATGTATCTTCCTAAACCCTAAAGAAGCCACACTCATGACATGGTGGGATGATGAGCGCAAGGTGGATGATGATAAGATTGCACACCCAGCACATTGTAGTCAGTGGCAAAGGATCGATGAGAAGCACAAAGAATTCAGTGATGACCCAAGGAATGTACGGTTTGGCTTGAGCATCGATGGAATGAATCCCTTCAATGAGAGGATGAGCGACCACAGCACTTGGCCAATGATCTTGACCATGTACAACATCCCAACATGGTTGTGTTAGAAGAGAAAGTACCTTCTCCTCACTATTCTTATTTTTTGCCCTAAACAACCAGGCATTGATATAGAAGTGTTGCTCGGGCCTTTGATGCAAGAAATGGAGAGGCAATGGAGGCATGGGGAGCCGATGTACGATGCGTTCCGAAAGGAGGACTTCATATGTAGAGCAATAATATTTGTTACTACCAATGATTACCCCACGATGTTTGCTTTGTCTGGGCAGATCAAAGGGAAGACGGGATGCTTGGTTTGCTTGGATGGTACTACATGGGTGTTCCTAGATGCATCCAAGAAGATAGTTTACCTAAGTAACCAGCGCTTCTTAAAGACAAGTCACAAGTACCGCGGTAAATTGTTCTTTAGATTTTATGACAACACCCCGGAGATTGAACCCCCTCTAGAGAGATGTCATAACGGAGAACACATGTACAAAATGGTGAAAAATATACGCGTCGTCTATGAAAAGAAGAATCCAGATGGGACAAACAGAGATAGAAGCACACATCCTGTCGAAGGCATACCTTTCAAGAAACAATCGATCTTCTTTCAGTATCTGCCTTATTGGATAGACTTGAAGGTCCCCCATGCCATTGATGCTATGCACATGCAAAAGAATGTCTTTGAGGGTCTCATTGCTACCTTAATGGACACAGGCAAGTCAAAGGATGGTCTGAAATCACGAAAAGACATGGTGCAGCTAAACGTGATGCCACAGCTTCACCCGGTACCTGAGGCTAATGGAAAATACACTCTGTCTGCGGCGTGCTTCAACCTAACACCAGAAGAGAAGAGCGCTATATGCACTTTCCTAAGGGGGGTCAAAGTTTCGACTAGGTTTTCAGCGAATGTGATGAAGATAGTGTCAATGAACGACTTGTCAATAACACACTGCAAGACATGGTTACAGTACTGAAGAAGTCGTCGAGTGCTGTCAAGAGTACCTAAAAGTACAGAAAGAGATTGGTAAACCCGATTCTCATCACAAGGGTAGGCTGGCTAGGAAGGGCACCAGTGGTAGAAAAGTGTTCATCGACCATGATTACAAAGAGGTGAGTTGGGCACATTATAGTGTCTTTTAGAGTACACAACTGATGCAACTGTACATTGATGAACACTTGGCTATCATTATGGCGGAGAGAAATGGTCGTTCAGATGATTGGGTCATGAAATAGCACAAGTAACGACTAACTACATGGTTGAAGGACCAAAACATACCGCCTGGAGAAACCATAGACTCTATTACCATCAGTAGGTTAGCGGAGGGGCCATCGAGACAAGTGACATCTTGGAAAGCTTATGACATCAATGGGTATACGTACTATACCCACGCAAAGGATAGAAAATATGTGAACCAAAACAGCGGCGTTCGAATAGAAGCTCTCGATTTAGTGGGGTGAAAGATCCAATACTTTGGCATCATTGAAGAGATATGGGAACTTGACTATGGAAGGGATATAACGGTGGCCCTGTTTCGGTGCTGCTGGATCAAACAACACCAATTGAACAAGATCGGATTGAGAGTCTTGGACCCCGAGAATCTAGGCTACCACGATGACCCTTCGGTGCTCGCTTCATGTGTCATACAAGTTTTCTATATGCCTGACCCACAAAGTAACCTCTCCCCAAAGAAGACAAAGCACGTTATCGGAGTTGATGGCGTGGACAATGTTGAAGCTTACAATAACTATGATGAGATGTCGCTATTCATAGACTTTTCTAAGAAGATCAGTGTTGTGGAAAAGAATCTGCCCAAAGACATATTGCCATGGGAACGAAAAGGTGTCAAGGGAAAAGTCGTTATAGCTGGCTAGCTAGTTGTTTAATATGGAGTGTTTGTGTAAGTGTGTGTTTGTAAAACTTCATTTATGCATGCATATGAGACTATATATTTATGTATGTGTGTGAGACAATAT